GGTGAGGGGCCTGTCCGTTCGAGGCGTCGTCTCCGTGATTCGTTAGGCGTCGTCTCTGTCGCCCCGCTTCCCTGCGCTCCCCCTTTCCCTGGGCCCGTCGCCGCTCCCCCACTTCCCTGGGTCTTCCTCCTCAAGCGCTGGGCCCGTCGCGGCTCCCCCTCCCCTCTTCCCTAGGCCCTCCTCCTCAAGCGCGCCAGCCACAGCGAAATTGAGCGACGTCGTAATGAACTGGCAGGGAAACCCTTTCCCTTTGAATCCCTCCCCCGCCGGGAGGGGGGGGGGGTCTCATGGAGGTGTCCTGGGTCAGATGTGACAATCCCCCCTGGGGGGTCCCGGGGCGCAAAAAAGCCTCAAGACGGGCCAAGAGTGCCCCGAGAGGCCCCAAGACGGTCCAAGAGGGCCCTGAATCGCCGAACGATCTGTCCAAGACGCCTTGACGGCCTCCAGTGGGCCGAGGAGCCCTGCAAAACACCCCAAGAGGCCTCCAGGAGCACTTGAAAGAGGGCCCCAAGAGGAAAAAAAACTGCTTTCCCATTGGTGTTTGAAGTATGTCGGCGTTCTCGCCCATTCCGCTTCCCGACGCTCCAAGACGGGCAAAGAGGGCCGCCAGATCGCCCCAAGGGCCCCAAGAAGGCCCAAGATGCCTCCAAGACGGCCCAGGGGGCCCCCAAGACGGCTCCAAGAGGGTGCCCCGACGAGGGACCAGACCGGACATTTCGAGCCCTCGGCCCAGAGGGGCTCCCAGGAGGAACCAAGAGGCCCCCCAAGAGGCCCCAAGAGGCCCCCAAGAGGCCCCCATGAAGCCCTGAGAGGCCCCCAAGAGGCCCCCGCGAGGCTCCCAAGAGGCCCCTAAACTGTCCGAGAGCGCTTCGATGAGACCTCAAGAAGCATCCATGAGGACTCTGACCCGCCGCCGCCGTTGTCGTTCCACTTCAGGGTTGGCGGCACTGGCCATAAAAGGCCTTCGCAATAAACGTGTGACGTCGGAGAAGAAGGAGGAGAGAGGCGCGGATGAGGAGAGGGGTCCGACGGAGGTGGGGAGCTGCAGAGTTTGTGAGCGCATGGCAGGGAGGACTGACCTGTCCCCAGGAGTCATCGGATGACGACGAGAGCTTCAGAGGAGGGCGTAGGTGGACACGTAGGTGGACAAGGAGGGCGACGCGGACGCAGAGGAGGGAGCGAAGCAGCAGCCAGAGGACCCTCTCTCTTGTGTGAACTTGGCCTGCGGACGCCCAGAGTGCAAGAGGAGCTGAGTAAGCCAGAGGATGACGATGACGAGGTGGGGCCGTTATCGTGACCAGGATCTCAACCCGCTTGAACCTCGCGGAACTTCATATGCCCATGGCACTTCACATGGCATGGCTATGAGTGCACGCAGGCGGCCTCCCATGTCCCTGAAGAGCTGCTCCGCGCCCATCGTCTCAAATCCCACCTGCCTGAGCACGCTGGTGAACTCCTGCGACCCCCCTCCTCATCCTCCGCGGCGCGCAATGTCCTCCTCAGCCGACTCCCACTCCTCGGCATCCTCCTCATCCTCCTCCTCATCCTCCTCCTCATCCTCCTCATTTTCGTCCATGCCCCTCATCTTCGTATCATTATCCCTCTTAACCCCTAATTATTATCCTCGTACCCCCTTCTGCTCCTCATCTTCCTCAGCCCTACACCATCGTCCTCTTAATCTTGCTCCTCCTTCTCCTCCTCCTTTCCTTCTCCTCCTCCTCCGCCTCCTCCTCCTCCTCCTCGACGCACCTTCTCCTCCTCCTCCTCCTCCATCCCGTTTCGTCATAAACAACTCCTCACTGTCGCACCCCCAGGGCCGGGTGTTTCGCCTGATACTTGCTCGCCATTTGTGATCCTGAAGCTTGAACTTTACATCAGCCGCAAGGATGGAGGGCGGGTCGGTTTCAAAATGCGGCTCTCGCCGTCGCGCCGTGCACATTCGTCTTAGAAGTTTGCAGCCGCTTTGGTGGAGGGCGGATCAATTTCAACACGTGGCTCTCGCCTTAGCGCCGCGCACGCTCGGCTTAAAGATGTACAGCAACTTCACGGGTTCATGCAGTTGGAGTCGCAAGAACGGTGTTCTGGCACCAGTTACGATTGTCAAGACGCAGTAAGCATGTTGGTTCGCAGTGCTGAAGTCCCGGAGAGGGTGCTCTGGCACGGCTGAGCATGGTCAAGACGCAACTGTCATGTTGACTCGCGGCGTCGAAATTCCAGGAATTGCGTTGTCGCACGATTCCGGACCCTCGAACATTTCGGATCCTTGAGAGTCTGTTGCCTAACGGGACACTTCCCGCATCGAAAATAAATTGCGGTAGGGATCGATGAAGACAGAACTTGGAGGGAGGGTTCATCTGAACATCGTTGGTGCGTCTTGGGTCTACACTGGCCCTCCTCCTCGCCCTCCCCCCCTCCCCCCACACTCTTGATGGAGAGCCCACGTCCCCCTTCCGCCCCAGGAGGGAGGAGGAGCAGCAGGAGGAAGGAGGTGAGGGCGAGAGAGGAGGCAGAGGCAGGGCGGAGGGAGGCTGTGGCGAGGGGGGGAGAGCGGGGAGGGAAGCGGGAGACCCTCCAAGCTCACCAGAGGAGCGGACGTGCAGCGCTCGACGTCGGCAACCTTTCGTGGCGACGACGTCCCCCCCAGCCGGCAGCCCGCCCCCTCCGCCCTTCCCTCCTGCGGTTCAAGCTGCCACCACAAGGAACGCCAAGTGAGGAAGCGGGTCTCCTGCTGGCTCCAAAAGCGCCTGGGTGCACGAAGGGCGCCAGAGGAACAACCATGGAAGGACCTGAGGAACAGCGCACTCCGACCGAATCCAGACCGACACCTACATCAGCGTCTTGACTGCTCTCCTCGTCCGCAGTATCCTCATCATCCGACCGCTGTCCTCGAGCTCGATGCTGCCGTTCCTGTCGAGGTCGAAGATCTCGAACACGCGCCTCGAGGAAGGAGAACCAGGGCTTCTCGCTACCCCATCCCGACCCCCACTCCACCTCCACACGTCCCTCGCCCCTCCTCGCCTCAACCAAAGGGGAGGGGTGAGGGGATTAGGTCAGATTAGACGATGCGCTGCGCGCGACTCCTCGCAGTCACGTGAGCAGATTGTTCATGCCCCTGGCCATCGTGGCGCGGCCACACGTGAGCCCCGTTCTGGTAGGGGCCTGGGACTCCTGCACAAGGATCCCGCTCCGTCTGGTAGTGGCCCGTGCCTAGGCCACCACATCAAGAGCAGGCAAGAACAGGCCCCTTTCGAGGCCCCGGCCCATTCTCCCACGACCTCATTGCATGCGCCGTGCGTGCAGTGATGCTCCCTCGCACAGGCCTCCCCTCCCGCGGGGCCTGACTGCTGGGGTCGTGGAGTGTTGGAGGGGCACAGGACCTCCTGAACCATTCAGCTGCAGCACCCTTGGTCCTCCTGCTCGGTTCGGTACCTTGGCGGCGCGCACAAGGGGGTGGAGGGAGGGGGGAGGGCTTCTTAGAAGCAGGCTGCTTCTTAGAAGGCGCCGGCCTTACATCTATAGATAAGGCCCGCGCCTTCTAAGAAGCAGGGGTGCTTTTAAGAAGCCCCCCCCTCCCCCCTCCCCCCTCTGCGCGTGGCCGAGCACCGCGCAAACGTTAGTGCCAACGATGCTAACGACTAGATCCTTCGGCCGAACCAGGCAGCTGCAGGGTCTCTCCGCGGGGGCGCGCGGCAGGTCGAGTTGCGGCGTCGCCACGCCCGACGCCGCCTGCGCTTCCCTGCCTGGACGACTCGCGGGCATCCCGGCCAACATTGTGACCAACCCTCTACGAATACACTTCGAGCCTAGCTCCAACTCCCAGATGTCTCGGAGAATCCTGGCGGGACCTGGGCTCCTGGGGCGCACGTTTCGGCAACCTGATCGGCGAGGGTGTCAAACGGGAAGAGCGTTTGCGTGCCTGGCGAGGCTCGCTCCAAGTCCTCCGAGGAAACATGACTCCCGATCTTGCTGAGATCGATTTCTTTCCCTTGGGAGAGTGCCCGAACCAAGTTCCAAAGATCCCTGTTGGCCTTTGGCTTCCATTTCGCCTTGGCTCGCAATCTGAACAGAGCTCGTTGGACAAACGCAGTACCCGACAGGTACGTGAAGTCCACCCCTCCTCGGTGACCAAAATGACACATTGAAAACGCAGACAGCTCAGCTCAATGTCTGCCTTGCCTGCTGTCTGGAAGGGCTCCGCCGAAACCTCCAGACGTCCCCACTCGGGACCCCGTCCCTGAAGGGCCAGCCACCTGGACAACAGAAACGACAAACAAGGTTGCCATCCACAGAATCGGGTGTCCCGAGAAGGGCCCCTCCTGACGCATCCGCAGCAAGCCAGAGAGGGGCTTCTGAGAAAGCAAAAACCTTCGTAGAACCCGTCCCGGCTTCAAAGAAGCCTCCCGACTACGGGTCGTGCTAAGAAGGCCCATGCCGTCTAAGTTGCCCCCGAGTTCTAAGAAGACCAGCCCCCCTCCGCGCCACCCCTTGAGTGCGCCACTAACTCACGGAGCTCCAACGAAAACGCACTAAATTAAGCCAGGGCGCCATCGTCGACGACCGCAGCCGAGCGACACCGTCGACGACCGACGACGTACCTCCCGAGGATCAAGAGACTCGAAAATGCCGAAGACAACTCACATCTATGCACAGGACACGTGACGCAGCCAGCAACTGGGAAGATTGTTATATTGAACCTTCCAAGATAATAGGATTTCAATCCGGCCCAGCATGCCCAAGGCTTTGGTGAACATCCAATGGTGACGAGTGCGCAATGCCAAGAAACGACTCTGACCTCGTCTGGTGCAGCGCAACAAACAGACAAAAAGGTGGAGGCAACAGGAAGGTTAGGGTCGAGCGAGGAGGACATGAAGTCGACCAGGATCCTGAACAGGGCTGTAGTGGACCAGGGAAGAGGCGCGCGAGCCTGTCGATGTGGTCCGCATCCACGTCGCCCTCGGCGTGGGCGGCCGCGAAGGTGGCCAGCCAGCACGCGTCGCCGCCTGAGCGTGACCGCAGCTTGGGATCGCCGCTCGCGGGAGGTTTTCCTCCTCCTCTCCTCCTCCTCCTCCTCCTCCTCCTCCTCCTCCTCCTCCTCCTCCTCCACATCCTCCTCCTCCTCCCCCTCCTCCTCCTCCTCCCCCTCCTCCTCCTCCTCATCCTCCTCCTCCTCCTCCTCCTCCTTCTCCTCCTCCTCCTCCTCCTTTTCTTCTCCCTCCTCCCTTCCCTGTGAGACAGATTTGGGAGTGACGCCTGGGTGCGATGTCGGCTCCCTCGCCGACGCCGTCCTGCCCCCGCCGGCTTCGGCCAGCGAGCCCCACTGCACAGCCACTATGCCTCAAGGAGGCACGTTGGTAACGAGCAGCGAGCTGGGTTGCCCATCCCTGTCGACGAACGAGGAGGAGGAGGAGGAGGGGGAGGAGGAGGAGGAGGAGGAGGAGGAGGAGGAGGAGGCGGAGGAGGAGGAGGGGAAGGAGGGGGAGGAGGAGGGGTAGGAGGAAGGGTAGTAGGGGTAGGCGGGGCAGGAGGAGGAGGAGGAGGAGGAGGAGGAGGCAGAGAAGGAGGATAATGCGTTGGCAACCGAGCGTCAGCTCAGCTCTGGCCTGCTTGGGCGGCCCCGCGTCGTTCCGATAGCCGCTGCAGGGCGCGGCACGCCAAGCGTAGCAAGGCAGGAGCACAACTCCTCGCCTCGATCTTCAACATCTCGTTGCTGGCCACACGAGCAACAAGGAAACACACTGTGTTGCAGTGTTCCCAGCCCTCTCCTGCAGGAGCCAGTTCCCTCCTCTTGTGCACCCCACCCCCTGCGCACCGTAGAAGCGTGCCCCACGGTAGACACTCTCCTCCTACTGGTGTCCTGCTACCGGTCCCGCCCCGCTTGGAATCCTCAGCCTCGTGGCCCGGCCTTTTTTCGGGGAGCGCCAGCGCAACCTCGTCCTTCCCGCGCCCCTCTGGCGGCACGATGTCGTGACCCGTGCGCTCAGCTGGCGTGCGTCCCAGCCCCACTCCTCCGCAGTCTCGGCGGGCTGGGCGTGGTCTTTCAAGGGGAGCAAAGGGGTGAAAATCGTGCCTTCGGGTGAAGGCTCTCACGCTCGAGCCTGCCCCAGGTCATCTGCTACATCGGGCCACCGTGCCCTGCAGGGTGGTGGCTCGAGGAAACTGGGCACACTGATTGGGTTCAGGCGCCCCAGAGCCATGCTACCTCAAGTCCTCCTTTTTCCTCCTTGGGCTTGCAGGGCTGCGCCCGAATTCGCCGGCCCAACGGGCCAGAGGCGTGCTAAGATCTCCGGTAACTTGTTAACAATATTTCTAGTTCGCGCGCGCGGAGCGGCCCCTGGGGGCCCCCGGACGAAAAGTACCCCGGCAAGGTCCCGAGAGAAGCCCGGGAGAAGCCACCAGACCACTCCAGGGGAGGGTATTTTTCGACACCCCTCACGAGGATCGTGGCCTCCGAGGGGGGAGCCGCAATCGACTACCCCCAAGAGCCCCCCAAGAGGCCCTGGGGGCCTCCAAAACGCCGCCAAGGAGCCCCAAGAGACTCCCAAGAGGTCCCCAAGAGGCCCCCAAGAGGCCCTAAAGAGGGCTCCAGGGCCGGCGGCATGAGCGAAGCGATTAAATAAAAAACCCGTTGCGCGTGCGATGGTGGACTCCATCACTGTTGCCCCGTGGACGGCCGAACCGCCTCGGGAGGCCCATCTCGGGACTGCGGTCAACATGTTCGCGGTGGGGCGGTGTGCTGGGGCGGACGGAAACGGGGGGTAGCATTACGTCGGGCATGTCCTCTTATAGACGGATTTTGGACGAAATATAAGAATAGCCCCAAAAAATATGCAAACAAAAATCAAACATGATCGACCCACGAACCCGGAAAGGAATATAGAAGTGTAAGACATGGCAACGTTTCAAAGACACCTGACTGGGCGACGGGTAAATGCAACGCTGAATGTATCGAACTTGATGTACCGTGCCGACGGCTGTGCCGTGCTACGCCGTGCTGAACTGCCATGTGCCATGCCGCGATTGTGCTCTATATATAGCGTTGTGGATCGAGTCCTCGTTGCCACCGAGTCATGACCGAACTGATCTGGATCTTAAGCTCGAGTTGCCTGAGCAGATGGTAGCTGCCCCAGAGCTAATCGACAGACGTGACATACCAGGAAGACGCGCCGCGGAACGTCCCAAGGGACGCGCCAGGCGACGTGCCAGGGGACGTGCCATGGGCACGCACCGCGGGACGTGCCAAGGGGGCGCGCTGCGGAACGTGCCAATGGACGTGCCGCGGGACGTGCCAGGGGACGCGCCGCGCGACGTGCCAGGTGGACTCGCCACGGAACGCACCAAGGAACGTGCCAAAGTGCAATGTTCAGTGTATCGATCTTGATGTACCGTGCCGAAGGCTGTGCCGTGTTTGGCCGTGCTGAACTGCGATGTGCCATGCCGCGATTGTGCTGTATATATAGCGTTGTGGATCGAGTCCTCGTTGCCACCGAGTCCTGACCGAACTGATCTGGATCTTAAGCTCGAGCTGCCTGAGCAGATGGTAGCTGCCCCAAAGCTAATCGACAGAGGGGACATGCCAGGAAGACGCGCCGCGGAACGACACAAGGGACGTGCCAGGCGAAGTGCCAGGGGACGTGCCATGGGGACGCACCGCGGGACGTGCCAAAGAGACGCGCTACGGAACGTGCCAATGGACGTGCACCGCGCGACGTGCTAGGTGGACTCGCCACGGGACGCTCCGCGGAACGTGCCAGGCAGCATGCCAGGCTGCAATGCTGAGGGTATCGATGTTGATGTACCGTGCCGAGGGCTGTGCTGTGCCTGGGCGACCTGGACACGTGAAAACACACGTTTCGCTCATGACGTTCTCAGCACATCCTCATGCTAGACATCCGCCTGTGCCACCTGGACACGTGCAAACAAGCGTCTCGATCGAGACTTCCTCGACACATCCTCATGCTAGACATCCGCCTGGGCGACGAGGACGCGTCAAACCAAGCGTCTCGCTCGATCCTCAGCAAATCCTGGCGCTAGACCTCTGTCTGGGCAACCTGGAGGCGTGAAACCAAGCGTCTCGCTCGAGACATCCTCAAGACCTGGGCACGTGAAAACAAGCATTTCACTTGAGAGATCCTCCGAATTCATGTCCCCAGGAGAGGACAATCTATAACACAAAACAAGCGTTTCGCTCGAGACATCCTCAACGAATTCTGAAAAACAAGCGTTTCGCTCGAGACATCCTCAAATTTTAATTCGCCGGCCCTACGCGACCTCGTTATTTATCGCAAAAGAAATTCGCCGGCCCTACAGCCGTCAAAACCGGGGGGAACAAAACTAAAAGAGAACCCTGGGCCTATGCCGTTTCCGGGAAAATAGTCCCAGAAATCGTCCCCTGACTATTTTTGGACTATTACTGAATTCTCCTCCTGTACATAGAGGGACAGGCCCGACTTAAGGGTAGGCAATTAAGGGGGGGGGGAGGGGGGGGGGGGGGCGAATCAGCTCGCGTAGCTGGCTCCCCCCAGCGCCTCCCAACGCAGGGGGAGCCTGCGCGTCGAGGCCAAAACATGATCGACCCACGAACCCGGAAAGGAATATAGAAATGTAAGGCATGGCGACGTTTCAAAGACACCTGAGTGGGCGACGGGCAAATGCAATGCTGAATGTATCGATCTTGATGTACTGTGCCGAGGGCTGTGCTGTGCTACCCCGTGCTGAACTGCGATGTGCCATGCCGCGAGTGTGCTCTATATAGCGTTGTGGATCAAGTCCTCCCTGACATCCGAGTCCTGACCGAACTGATCTGGATCTTAAGCTCGAGTTGCCTGAGCAGATGGTAGCTGCCCCAGAACTAACCAACAGAGGGGACATGCCAGGAGGACGCGCCGCGGAACGTCCCAAGGGACGCGCCAGGCGACGTGCCAGGTGACGTGCCATGGGCACGCACCGCAGGACGTGCCAAGGGGACGCGCTACGGAACGTGCCAAGGACGTGCCGCGGGACGTGCCAGGGGACGCGCCGCGCGAAGTGCCAGGTGGACTCACCACGGAACGCACCAGGGAACGTGCCAAGGTGCAATGTTGAGTGTATCGATTTTGATGGACAATGCCGACGGCTGTGCTGTGCTGGGCCGTGCTGAACTGCGATGTGCCATGCCGCGACCGTGCTCTATATATATAGCGTTGTGGATCGAGTCCTCTTTGCGTCCGAGTCCTGACCGAACTGATCTGGATCTTAAGCTCAAGCTGCCTGGGCAGATGGTAGCTGTCCAAGAACTAATCGACAGGGGGACATGCCAGGAGGACGCGCCGCGGAACGTCCCAAGGGATGCACCAGGCGACGTGCCAGGGGACGTGCCATGAGCACGCACCGCGGGACGTCCCAAGGGGACGCGCTACGGAACGTGCCAATGGACGTGCACCGCGCGATGTGCCGCTCCGCGGAACGTGCCAAGCAACATGCCAGGCTGCAATGCTAAGGGTATCGATATGAATGTACCGTGCCGAGGGCTGTGCTGTGCCTGGGCGAACTGGATACGTGAAAACACGCGTTTCGCTCAAGACGTTCTCAGCACATCCTCATGCTAGACATCCGCCTGGGCAACCTGGACACGTGCAAACAAGCGTTTCGATCGAGACTTCCTCGACACATCCTCATGCTAGACGTCCGCCTGGGCGACCTGGAAACGTGAAACCAAGCCTCTGGTTCGAGACATCCTCAACATAGCCTCATGCTAGACATCTGTCTGGGCAACCTGGAGGCGTGACACCAAGCGTCTCGCTCGAAACATCCTCAAGACCTGGGCACGTGAAAACAAGCATTTCACTTGAGAGATCCTCAGAATTCGGGTCCCCAGGAGAGGACAATCTATAACACAAAACAAGCGTTTCGCTCGAGACATCCTCAACAAATCCTGAAAAACAAGCGTTTCGCTAGGGACATCCTCAATTTTTAATTCGCCGGCCCTACGCGACCTCGTTATTTATCGCAAAAGAAATTCGCC